CTAGCTAACATATATAACGAGACTGTGGGCTTAGTATACGGCTTCTTCTACACTGTCTTTCCAAGGACGGTTTGGAAAGGTAGACCTTGTTACTGATTGCTTTTGATAAGTTTTTGACGAACTCTCGAACGTTGGCTATTGGGACAGCCCTAGCGAGTTACCGTTTACACTGTTTTAACTGTTTTCTGCTACAGGTGTAGCGATGCCGTGTACCAGACTAGTCATTTTATATGAAACGGAATGCAGTTGATTTTATAATGTGGCACACGGAGTCGATTTAACGGCGTCCAACACAAATGATAGCCATGTGTACATAATATCAATTGTTCAAAGATAGAAAACAGCTACTTTTGTTCCATTTTATGAAAGCAAGAGACGATATACTTCGATGAGACGGTTGCTATTACTTAGTTCTAAGAACATTTTGTGTATTTGGTGCAGTTCCGGCTAATGAACATATGTTGTGCTCCAAGTTTATTCGATGCATTGCTTACGTTCGAATGCTCCCCACTGTTGAAAATCCACTCGCACACCTTTGTTATCGCGAATAGGATCAATATGCTCAATGTTCTTTCCGATAGCGATAGACACTCTACTTCTTTTTGTCACAAATGCTGCCGGTTGTGTGCTTCGGAGATCTATTTTCAATGCGTTATTCGTGAATACCTAGGAATTGTGCTTTGGATTCGATTTCCATTTCTGAAAATATTCCTTCATCCAATGAAAAGTGTCTTAGTACCCAGGCATTTACTTGGCGATTTTCTAAATCAGTATTATATTTACTGGTAGAGTGCACCACAGATGACTAGTTACTTCATCTATGAATGTGCATTTTTGATTTCTTCCAACGAAAACCATTTTTAGTTCTGGCAACATGAAAAGGTCGTCGTGACTTCTGCCTTCTACGAAACCAAAGCTGTGTTTGTATAGCTGCAATTTGAGAAGAAAACTGGCAACCCCATCCTGCACATTCAAAATGCAAGCTGAGGGTAGATGCATTTATTCCTCTAAAGAAATCCGCATGATATGCTCGTTTTGTAATAAATACGTTTGCTATTATGGCTTGTAACACGTTCGGCTTACCCTTACGCAGCTTCTTCCTTTCGAGAAACATAGCTATTCCTTGTTGAAACTCGAGCACTCGGTCCGACACCTTGCCTCGTGATAACCAAGGCACTAGTGTGCGGAATAACAGCAGGTTAAATTTGCCTCCGAATTCATTGCACAACTCTCTGAAAACTGGTTTACTTGTCGCACTCCCGCCGATGTCATTTGCTTTTTTCACTACCTTGGTTTACACATCCAGCAAAGCAGATGGAAGAGTTTTAATTACTAAAACATAACGACGTATGATGCAGTGACTAATGGCAGCGTGTGTAGCAATTTTCTTGACTATTGTTTGGAATCCAGAACGGACGCCCAACATGGATGGTGATCCGCCTGTACAGACACCCAAGAACTTCGACCACTGTAGATCATTTTCCTTAAGGAAATCCTTTGCTGTTTGAAAGACATCTCCACGTGTAGTTGTGCTCAATGACTGTGAACAAGTATTCTTTTTTTTGCAGCTGTCGTCTTTACGTACAAACATAGAAAATTAGCTGGGAACAAGATGCGAGGTCGGTCGAGGAATCTAACTCGCCCACTTTTGGAATATTGCAGTATCATTTGTGACAGCATGTGGAAATCTGATAGTTTCCTTGGATACTCTACAGACGCCATGTACATAACGTTTGCTAAGCAAAACTTCCATTAAGAACTATCGGGAGCGCTGCTAACAATTCCAGCTCTATCCGCTTTGGCTACGAATACTGAGGCATAATCTGATGCTTCTGTACAACATGATTCCTTTAAACGCCCACTGCTATTTAGCTTCCTTAGAACTACAGCAGAGTAGGACAAGGGAGCTACGCAATAAGGGGTGTACCCAGGTGTACGACAAATCTGCGGTCCAAGATTTTCCTTATCGAATACGCTGTCCTGTGGAATAAACTATCAGTCACAGTCAGATCGTGTAAGAACACAACGGCCTTTGCTTTAACCTCACCAAGTACCTAAACTTAAACACGATTATGACACCGTTCTCCTGGGAGAGATCACTTGGTGACTAGTTCCAAAATGGGTCAGACAACATCCGATGGGCGAAATAGAAAAATAAATTTCACGAAGTATGGTACACTTAGTGCTGTTATTATCCCCTAATCCAACTAGTGCACGTTGAGTCGAAACTCACCTGTGAATAAATACGTACCCAAGAAACAGCAGAAACAATGAAAAGCACCTAACTGTTTACCATTCATGTATGAGCATGACATCTTCTGTAAAATATGATCTGTGCCAAATATAGACACAGTTTCTCCTTCGATGAGAAATATACCTATTAAGTTTATTATCATTAGCATTTTTAATCTTATGATTATTACTGTAGTGTGAAGAATGCACTTTATATTATTTCGTTGAGCACCGTGTGCACAATTTTGCTTGCTTATGTCCTCGATGCGAATAGAGATGGCGCTGTTAGAAAGTAATATCATGCTTGACTTTCTGCATCTTTCTCTCCGAGAACGAGCTAAACCACATCTACAAAGCGACGAATGATGAGATTTTGTCCTATAGTATGAGGTTTCTTGTTTTCGGCTATTCAAAGAACGATGCGGTACGAAGCCACGGGAACAGCTTCAGTTGACTGAAAAAAGGCGCCGGATGTATCCACAAATTTTTACGTTTTTAGTATGTTGTACATTTCCCATGAACTGAGAAAGACTTCGTTCAAAGTGGTCTTCCAATTCGCCGTGATCCATGGTCTCGCCGTGAGCACTTTGATTCACAGAACACGTTGAGGTTTCTCGACATTTTATTCGACGAGATTAATGGAGCTACAATGCAGAACATATTCTCCGTAGGACCGCATTTTCCAGAGACCTGACTACGGAAGAAAAATCATGGAGCTAAGTATATATATATATATATATATATATATATATATATATGACTGCGTTAATGTAGGTGACATTGTTGTAAACGTTTGCAGATTCTCTCACTATTATTGATAGTAAATCCATCAAATTAATGTAATCACCTGCTCTGGCTTGTCATCCAGAACACCTGTAGTTGCGTGTGATTTTTCCAATATCAATTGATCACTTGCGTACAATCTGCTCTACCTGCATTGGTTGTGTGTCCCTAAACCTAATTTTTGATGCACTTTGAAACCGTTGTTTCTATTTCGGTTTAAGATATCTTATGACCCTTTCGTGTATGATTCCTGAGTCAGTGGCTTACCATAAATAAATAAATATCTTGTTCCCGCCAGTGCAGGACGCGCCCAAAAGTGCATGACCACGGTAATACCGAGCGGTATGATCAGTAAGTGTCAAAAGCGTTACTAGGTAAACAGTACATCCTGGACTAATGTTTTATATATATATGCAAGTGCATGGGTTAGCAATCATGTTGAGTGAACCTGTTACTGTTGTTCTGAATTTGTAGTTGTGTTCGCTGAATTCATCAACATAGGTAGGTATCAGATAATATTTTCGAGTTGGCTGACGTCCACGATTGGTTTAAGATCCTCCGGAAAAGCAGGAAGCAGTGAACTTATTTAACGGCGAGTCATATCCGCCACCGCAGTGTTGTTAAACAGACCTTTGTGGCTTTGTATAGGGAGAACGTTTGCCAGGCGAAAACCCATCCCGTCCTGGAATAGTGCCGACTAACCATTCGCTGGAACAGGATTAACCAGGACCACCCAGCTGGCACAGTTTCCCACCACCACTCTGTATTGGTACGTTGTGCAACCTAAGCACCAGTTTTGACCCTTCTACTTTGTAAACATTCGATCTCTACTTTAGCTGCTCGACTGGTCTATGCTGTAATATTAGTGTTCAATCGACTCTGTACTTCGACCCGGCGAACCATCGTCTGACTCAAAATTAAAACGATAGAGATAGGAGCCGATAGAGGCCTCAGCTAGTCGCATTGACTAATTACTAGTCACGGCTGGCTAACCATAGTGAATATGTAGTTAGTTATATGTTTTGATACAGGTGACTGTTAATAAGCTTGTTTTGCGACTGATTGGTGACGCAAGCCTCTTACTAATATTTACCCCTCGTAAAATGCCATTTTACCCATTTGGGGGTACTTACCACAGGTTAAGAACCCCTGCTCTACATTCTCAACAACATAACAGAAGTCTAACGCAGTTTCACATGGAATGCACCGGAAAAACAATGTCATGTTGCCTTGATGGTTTTATCGTAACCCCTCGCAGCATCTACATGATTGGTCACTCCCGTTAGGAAGCTGATGGTCATTCTTGTAGAGCGGAGTCAGTTCAATTTATATACACTGACTTATATGGTATCTAATGATGGAACATCAATGGAGCACTTTATTTGAATGACAAAATGCTGTGAATAATTTTGAGATTTGTCTCAGTTAGACTTGCTCTGCTGAGATTTCACCGGATGTCATCGTCATCCACTGGAGGCAAGTACATAGAGCACAGCCTCATCCAACATTTTGAGCTTTGCGACAGTAACTGGAGCCACCAGTACACGAGTAAAAACGGAGAATAAAACGGGTATTATTTCCATTTCTAAAACTTATTAGTTACTAGAAGACTAAGCTTCTCAAGTAGAGTGGACACTACAAATTGTGAGTAATCAGATAGTGACCACCGTGTCAGTTGTGCTTATTACCGCAGAAATAGATTCATATCAAAACTGTGGAACGTTCAAACAGAAGACAAACTAACGTTCAACGTGTGACCAGCTTCATCAGTGACAAGATGCAATCCAACCCTCGTTCTTTTGAGAAACTGATGATTGTCAAGTTCGAATGACGCACAGTAAGCAAAGAGAAGGTACGTTTGGAAGATATGTTTTCTTGTTACCAAGTCAGGGTATCAAAAAGTATTGGAAGTGGATGACTCGCTAGCTACCTTTGTATTACATAGATAAAAATGTTGCACAGTTTCATGAGCTAGGATTTCACGCTCAGTCAAAGGGGCTATCCGACTGAATGAATGCTCTGATCAGGTGAAGTGCGGCGCCTGGCTGGTCGGAGGGAATCATGTGCCCGGCCGCATGCACAACCACATACCACAGAGGGGTGTCGTTCAGCCTCAGTTTCGCATAGAATCCTCCCAATTGACACCGCTTCCGTCTGTCTGAATAGAACCACGCAGATTTGGGTGTCACGGCCTGGATGATGAAGGAGCGCGGAAATGGTGAACTCAGCATAACAAACCGTTTGATGGATAAAATGAAAATATGCGGCGGTTTACTATTGACAATAACCCGACGGAGTGCTCAGCATGACTCGCTAAGGCTTGGAGCCTGAGTCGTGAATGGACTCACGAGCTATTCTATAGCGACCGAGAGGTGCAACGGGATTGTGCTCGCAAGGGATCCGAATTTTGCTGTTTACTGCAAGTCACACGAATTCACAGAAGGATATCATAGGCATCATATTTGAGATGCACTCATGTGGCTTACTAAGAGACTGAGATTTCCATCCTTTTCCAATCTACGAAACTTATTTGCATATATATTTATATTAGTATGAGGACAAGTTTTCTGTTTGCAATAAAAATGATCTTTGGCTAAAACGTGTTCCAACCTCTATGAAAAATTATGGGAGACTAATATGTGTAGTTCGATAATTTGAACTACCCAAATAGTCTACCAGTGCTGACGATGTATGATTGGCCAACATAGAAGAAGCAGAGACCTGTAGATCTGTGGTCGATTCACCTTCGCGTAGTTGAACATGTCAGCAGATTCCAGACTGTTCGGAATTGTTATGCTTCGGGGAAGACCACCGGCTTTCTCGAGTCGTGACTATGGTCCGACCGCGAGTTAACAAATAGGCAGCTTTCTCATGACCCCGGCCTGTCATGTCTCCCTACTTCACAGTCATATCAGTCGACATGAAAAAAATTTAACGTATTACCTATGCTTGTCCATATTTGTACTAATCTTTTACAACCTCTAACGTATTTCCGTTCACTTCCGCATTTACAAGTTGCACAGAGTTTGCCTGAGCTGTACCGTCTCATGAGGAAATATACATCCTAGGCTTCTCTTTGTATTAGCAGGAATCTGACTAATCTTACCTTCGCGGAATTGTGCATACATTAATTTTTTCTTATTTGTGACTGCAATGTTTGAGCAATTTCGGCTCAATTCATAGTCGTAGCTTCCATATTTATGTTTCCCGTTAAATGGGATCTTTAAAGATCATTCACCACAGACTGCCTGCAGTCGAGTTATCCTCTATAAGGATCATAATTACACATTAGCTGAAGGGGGCGAACACACTTCAACTAATGTGCCGCAAAACATAAAGCCAAGATACAAAAAAGCAAGATCCTGGGCATTATGAAAAGCAGAAAACATCCAACACACTGCCTAGTAGAATATTATGCTTCAAAAGATAGACTGTGGTTGGGGGGGAAGATAAGCTGGATGGAGAGGGACAAAGAAACGCACAACACAAAGGTTATTGAGGTCAGGTACTTGCCACCTAAACTATATTATCCAACCAAAGGTGTTCACCGTCATTCTGACCCCAGCTCGGCAGTCGGGACCCAACAACTAACAAAAAGTTCGAAGTGAGGGTGCTCATGTCTCTCGAACAAATCATCGCTTGGCATCCCCTATTCGTCTTCCATCCATACCCCCGGCGCATAAACAACGCTTGTCGCGGGAGTCGATGTGGTTTCATGTGCAACACGTGCCCAACCATCAGGACTTAATACTAAAAATAACTGTGCTGAGCGGTTCACTCGCTCTTCTTGCACCAAACACACGAAGTCTAGCAAGCTCATTGCTCACGCAGTGTTCCCAACAGACATGAGCTATACTAAGAAGGTAGCGATAGTCGAACGTAACAAGCCTCTTCATGTCTGTCGACTTGATGGCCCAGGTTTCGTAACCGTAAAAGAGGGTTGAACGAACGGCTGCATTGTAAACTCTGTCCTTCTTGGGGAGAGTGATGTGGCCCCGAAGCCACAGTTTGTAAAGCTCCTCGAATGTGCCTTGACCTTTTGATATGCGGTTCCTGATCTCCTCTTCTATTCAACTGGCACTGGCATAGCTGCCTAGATCCTTTAATTTCTCGACGATTTCTAGCTGATCCCCGCCAAGACTCATATATCTGGAAAAACACTCGAGCTTATGGGACTCGACCATTTTGTGCATCCCCTGTCACCAACAGCAACGGAGTACTTCGGTTCACGAAGCTACTTACGTATGCCACTATGACCGACAGCGGCAGATAGCCATGACTAATAACTTTGTCTAACCACGGTACCCAACCTGCAATGCCATGCAAGTCGTAAACTTTGCACAGGACAGGGTTGGCGCCCAGAGCATTGACCGCCAACAAGCAATGACGGTTTGCTGCACTAACCTATGGCCTAGTGACATAAGACGCTGGCACCGATAAGCCATGTAAGCTAGGTTCCTGGTGAGGCCAGGGGATCCACACTACTGGTGAGTCCCCATAGGAAAAATGGCCGCATAGCACTTTTCCAGGTGTGCATAAGACCATTGAATCGTTAGTTAAGTTCGACGGGACATACAAAAACTACACGGAAAACCCTTTACACAAAAGTAAATAGCCTAGACCAGTTCCATTCAAAAGTTCGGATGAGAAGTTTGTACTGGGTACCTTCCTACACACCATTCATTGCATGGGTGCTAGTTACAACAGTTTCGTACCTGTTTATTGTGTGTCATCGGTTGCGTTCGGAGCCCCAATGGAAAGCTCCAGTTCTATTACTTACCTGCAGCTGCAAGTTATCGACGAACCATCCAGTGCCTGTGTGAGTTGACGTCACGTCTAAATTTCCGGACAAGAACGCTATCGGTATCTAGGGATTAGGAGGATAAAAGCAGCGTGTGAAGGAAAACGGTTAGGATGAATATATTGAATGGAGCATGGAGCTAGAAAGCCACTTCCGCTTTACAGAGGTGGCTATTTTGTAAATAGACTACTAGGTTCGCCACAGTTTACCCGAAAAAGTGACACCCAGATTAAACTAGAAACTTACCCCACATTAAAAACCTAGAGGCTTCACGATCGGTGACAAATATGTCCCGCGCAGTGCCGTGTAATGAACACCCGTTGTTCTGAGTGTCGTGACTTCCGCTGAGCAGGAGCGATAACATTAGCCGGACACTATACGGCTGATTTTGAACAACTGCACCTGTTCTGTTGCTTTCTTTGATTCGCTACGACAGCTAGCCTAGGTGAGATCACGTTGATTGTTGCTCACAAACCGAAACACCTAACAGTTCTGCGACAAGTTATCATTGTCCAATGAAGGCTAAAGCTTCTCTTCTGTGTTAGACAAAACATAATCATAGTTACCCAAGTTGTTTGAGGTCTAAGCGGTGGAACAACCACCCCGAATCTGAACTACAGCACTGGTGTAAGAGGTCCAAAATTCAGTAAACTACTACACTGTTTTCAATAACATGTTATGAAGGGTGATTAGTACCATCCGTTTATGGGTAATGGGCACAAGGAAAATTGTCGCACCGGAACGCGATATCTCTCGACGAAGGCTTGACAAGTAGGTTTACGGTTGTCTGCCCAAGTAATACTACAATGTTTGTCATGGCTATTTAGTTTAGTGCTTTATCATGAACTGGGGAACTGCAGCTTATCTGTCTGAGTGTGCAGCCTCTGCTGGTTCGACTGTTTACAGTTTGCTGAGACACTGGTGAGAGGGAACACGTGGATATGCCTCCACGACAAGCAGCTTGTGGGGTCTGATGAAAAGCTTTGTCTCACGTTATGAATGGTGCTTGCGGAATGAAGATAGCTAATGTTATAACTTCCATACATCTCCGTCGGTTACTCCGGAAGATAAGTAGCTACAGTACTCAGACGGCGCAAACATGATAAGTAACAACCCTTCCTCTGGAACGCCGTATATGAAATTTTTGCTATCGTATACACGTTTCTTCTACTTTATAAACAAATATCCGGACAACGTTAAATCAACTTGAAATCGAAAGTGTCTAGATGGCTGCGTTCCGTTGTTCAAACAGCTACGCGAAGTCAGTAAATTCTGATGATTATCAAGTCTCTTCAGTTTTTCACCTCTCATTCGCCACAGCAAGAAAAGTGGTGTTATCCGTGATTGCACTTAGAAAATTGGAACATCGTTTTTCGCGCACTGCATCCGTACTCCCAGTGGTGATGTTCGTTGGTGTAGGGAACATAGTTCGTTTTAACCACTTTCCTATTATCTTGAGAAACCCCATTGAAGTGGTCTATCCTTTGAAGAATTGCTGGAGCTTAGGAACTGCAAAGTCCGATCTCTACCTAGGTAGTGTTTCATCAGTCTGCCAGCTGAATGGACAGTGAGCGAGTGCCAATACCCTTAACTGATATTTGGAATGCAACCAGCAGTTTGCTGTACTCAGTATTTTGCTAATTACGAAGATCACGAAGCATCTGTTTTAATCGATGATGTTTCGGGTTTCGCATATAATGGTTTAATTTCCGTCTCCCGCCAGAATTTACAAATGTTATCTGAGAACAGCGTATACACTTAGTAAGCTGTGTACAACCATAAAAATACTTATCCTTCACCTCGATATCCGTTAACTCATATCAAACCTCCATGTTTACCATGTGCACTTTATTGCTTCCTCACACATGTTTGCGTGCCTTTTGTAATCAGACAGTCTTAGCCATCCGCCAAGCAGCATTTGCATCAAATAATGTACAATTCTATTTTATAGCAGAGTACCGAGGTTTTATGCTTAAGTAATAGGTACAAAGGACTGAGCGAGTAGATCATATGACCACCAGCCTTACCTTCACTTTACGCTGTGTGTCGTATGAAGAGCTGTGCGAGAGGCTAGGACTTTACACCACGTCTAGTCGCCGAGTGCGTTATGACGCGCCACTTGGAGATTACCCCATGTAAAGGTCGCTTCTGCATCCACGCACATTAAGCAGCACACGAGGACACCGGTACAAGCTTGTGGTACCGGAGGATGGTAAATATATGGAACAAATTGCTACCGCACGTAGTCGAGGCAAAGTCAGCGTCGGAATTCAAACATGCCTTGACAAATACTTTGCATATTTGAAATATCGGGAAGGATTGCAACACAAATGGCTAGTATACCTGAGGAATTTTAGGTGCAGCTACACAGTGATATCTCTTTTTGCTGCTTTCATCCAGTAATAACTACTAAGTAATCTATCATATTTTAATCTAATTCAGGCATTTAGATTTTCGCGCGGCGGACTAGTGGAACCCTGCCCATTGCCTGTAGTGTGCATGCACAGTAACTACCGCTATCTAATTATTTCTGATTGAGACACAGCAGCTTAAAGGTATCAACCATTATGAGACCAAGTCGTATATCATCGGGATATCGGAATGCTGGGAATGTATATACATATACATGTATTAACTTATTTGATTGATTACATCGTTGACTCATCCAAACGTCTAAGCACCATGGAAGCCGCCTCCGACCGAATTAAGCGTGCTTCAATCAACCGCGCTGCAGCCCACATGCCAACAGCATCACAACAAATGAAACGTGCAAATACGTAAAAGGTATTTTAATAAACTTCACGGACGGAAGTAACAAAACGGAGTACAGTTAACTCTTAAAAGGTTGCGTTGTGGACTGGTGAACAACGCGCTAGCTGTGACATCACCAATCAGAGGTAGGCGTGTACGCGTGCATGAAGGGATCTGCACTTCCGTCTGAGTTTGATACACAATCAGATGCTTTGTACCAGTGAGTATTTTGAAACAAGCATGGTACAAGAACTGCTAGGATTGGACACAAGAAAGTTACTAATGTTCAGCTTTATAATGCTGCGACGTCATGACAGTTGTCGTTGCGGTTTGCAGAGTATTTTATAATGTCTCGCTAGTGGACATGGGAATATATCCGAGAGATATTATGTCCAGCGTTGTAGCACATATGAAATGCTAACTAGCGGCCGGACGGGATCTCAGATGAGAAAGATGTGACGACAACTCCATGCTTTTGTGAACGTCACGTTCACATAAAGCGAATGACATCAAAGGCGCGTACTTCATTGACGTGAGGCATTGCAACCCATCGTCGTCGATGTGAAACGCGTGGCATTCCGTGTGTGGTTACCGATAATTATTTCCATTGAATAGAGAGAAAAGAAGGTAACTTCATTTTAAGTCACCAATATATAGATCGAGAGCATTGGATCAGATGTAGGTCTACCTAAATGTTTGTGAGTTGACAGATGAGGCCTACTGATTACACAATTTGCTAAGATCGCTTCATCGGGCGCGGGTGTTTGGTCGATGTAAGTGAACAATTGCAATGATGACAGGTCATTTTGAACTCACGTTGTTTTCAAGAAGCTGACGATATTGATTTAGCGTGGATAAGTAATCGAAGCGATACATCGTGTACATATCCTGTTTACACTCCTCCCAACGCCCTTCGAATCGCCCGCTAATATGCAACGCGTCCCGAACAGCTGGCGTGTTTAAATAGCTGTTTAGATTGGAGTTGGATACACAAGCCGTTGTGCCAGACGCCACCCTGAAAATAGCCCTCGATCTGCATAAAAATCAACGAAAAGTTTAAATGAAGCAAATAGTAAGGTTTGAGTAGGAGCACGAACACAAGAAAGCATGCACTTTGCAAGCGCGCCATTAATAGTGTGTTAATGTTTGTTTACAGAGAGGTGAAATGTAGGTTTATATTAAATGTGTAAATAAGATGTTTTACAGTTAAATGTAACTTTTAAAAATGGGCATTTTCTTATGAAGATGAATTGCGAACACTTAACCCAGATCCCAGGTTCCCTCACTCCATAAAAACTAGCATTTGCCGAAGCTAACATTCTATGCGTTCGGACGATGAAACTTCCTTAAGGAAAGTTGCAGCTGACTGAGAAACCCTATCTACTACGCGTTGAAAACGAGTACGAGGGGTGGTGTGTAGGTGCGTCATACTATATATATATATATATATATATATATATATATATATATATATATATATATATATATCCGTATGGATTCAACGCGGATACCGAAACAACTCTTATATGTTCAGCTTAGTATAGGGAAGCGGCACGTGGGGAAACCAAAGTTACGTTACCAGGACATGATTAAAGTGAGCCTCACACGTTCTGATCTTGATTGCAGGTCATGGGAATCGAAGGCGGTTGATCGGCGTGCATGGCGCGATCTGATCACGAAGGCAGTTCCCGAGGTGCAGGAGAAAGCTCTCATGGATGCAGAGAAGAAGCGGCAAGTGGGGAAGCGGCAAGCACCGATGGGTTGTTATCCATCGACATCAAGCACATGGTGGTGTTGCATGTGCGGTCGCAAGTGCCTGAGTCAGGCAGGCTTAGTGAGCCATGAGCGAGGCCACTCGGGACCACTACGGAAGCGACGACGGGTGCTGAAAAGAACGTAGGCAGAATCAGCGCAGCGTTTGTAGGTACGCTGCATTCGATTTACTAACCGCGTGCTTGCATGCTAAGCCTCTTTATTTCAGGTAGTGGGTTTTCAATTTTGTCCCAATGCTTTCATTCTCAAATAAAAATCCACCTGTACGCTCTTCTATAAACCTGCACAACTCGCTTAAGCCAATTGTATTTAATTTCGATAAAATTTTCGCGGTTGTGTCATTTCTGTAAAATATACTTTCTGACCTCGTGAACTTATGTCGGACCCTATGTTAACAACTTATTTCGTATGCTCATTAATTTAAGCTTTCTGTCACGTTTCCTTATGCATTACTCGATTTCCATTCTTGGTTAGCTTTCTCTCAAGTGATTGGTTGTTGTTTGATATCCCCGGTGTGGCTGCGCTTGATGTGCATGTTGACAAGGTATCTACTTGTCTATTACCCACTACCGCGTCCACATTGGCTCAAGGAGACAGTTGGTCGTTGCTGAAGGGGACGGGATGCACAGTATTGTGGCCGTGTTAGACTGGAAGAGTGCTTCGATGATCTCAGTGTGGAGCGGACTACGGTCCGGCGACCGCCTTCTGTGCACTTGATTCACCAAATACAGCGTGCTTGTGTTTGCCTGTGAAGGAGGGTGGGGCAGTTCCGTATATATATATATATATATATATATATATATATATATATATATATATATATATATATATATATATATATATATGTAATTGGCGGCATCCGGTTTCCGATTTGCCTGCCACTGAGGACAGCCACATGACGCCTGCACCTACAGACGGACCATGGGTGGCTTGCGATGCACCACCCACAGCTCCATCCACACCCACCCAATATCCAGTGTAAACCCGAAACAATAAGACCGGGAGGCATGTGGATGTGGGCCACATTTCATCCACGGAGCCGGCCCACACTCCTTCACGGGCACTTTGACAACCGCGTTCGTGATCAGATCGCGCCATGCACGCCGATCAACCGCCTTCGATTCCCATGACCTGCAATCAATATTAGAACGTGAGAGGCTCACTTTGATCATGTCCTGAAAACGTAAATATGGTTTCCCCACATGCCGCTTCCCAATAGTCAGCTGACCATATAAGAGTTGTTTCGGTATCTGTGTTTAATTCATACGCCACACATGATCGAGCCACAAAAGGTGTCTCTGTCGCACCAACCGATGCGCAAACTCAGTCATAAGCATTGCTGATGGATCCGCTCGAGATATCGCACATCCCGCAGGTACATCGTCCACGTTTCACTGCCCTATAGAAGAACGGACAGCATCATGGATTTGTACATCATCAGCTTCGTGCCAGTGGTAAGCTGATAGTTGTTCCAAACTCGATACTCATGCTACCCGAATATCGCCGCTGCCTTCGACACGCGAATACGCAGCTCACTGTGTATCTGCTGATCAGTCGACATCACACTCTCAAGTAGTAGAAGCGCGAGGTAGCTTCCAATACTTAAGCACCAATGCTGATTCGCGGCAATATTGAAGATGGCACCTCCGGTGAAGGCTGAAAGAGACAGACAGTTTTGCTTGTGTTGATGGTGAGCCCGAATTTGGCCGCTGTCGAAGCCAGAGCACTAGTCATGTGCTGCAACTCATCCGCGCTGTGTGAAAACAACGCACAGTCGTCAGCAAACAGCAACATACGGATAGTTGTCGCACAGACTAGGGGTTTCGCGCCGAAAAGATAGATTTTAAACAAACCACCATCAATACGGTGCTCCACACGAACACCGTAAGCACAAGCCGCATCAAAAGCACAAGACAACATTGCATGAAGATATATATTAAACAGGGCAGAAGCAAAGACACAGCCTTGCTTCACACCAGAGACAACTGAAATGTCATCCGAGGTCTCTCCACACAGCTGCACCCTCGCTCGCATACCACTGTGTAGACATTCAATTAAACTTACAAACTTACGCGGGCAACCAAACTTACCCAACACGAGCCACAATGCCTCGCGGTTCACTGTATCAAATGCTTTGGTGAAATCAACAAAAAGCGAGTGCAATGGCTGGTGTCGTTCTGTGCACTTCTCCTGCAACTGACGAGCCGCAAACACCATATCTATAGTGCTGCGACCCGAACGGAATCCACACTGCTCCTCCGCCACGTTAGGTTCCACAACCTTACTGACGAGGCGGTTGAGCAGGATTCGGGCAATCACCTCGCCCACACAACTCAGCAAGTTGATGCCACGATAATTAGTGCAACATTGCTTGCTCCTTTTACCCTTGTACAGTGGTACCATAAGGGCATCCTTCAGTTCAGGAGGCCCCTCCTCCTCAATCCATACACGTTGCACCAAGTGCTGCAGCGCAGTCACCAAGGCGGACCCGCCGTGTTTCAATACTTCAGGCGAGATCCCGTCGGCTCCGGCACATTTGCCGTTTCGCAGCTGAGTAGGTGCGCTCTGCCTCTCATCCAGTTTTGGCGTGTCCGCCAGACCCGTCTTCACATTGTGCTGCCTCAGGCAGTGCAATGCAGGCCAGGCGATATCTGAACGGTTGTTCAAGTGACAGTCAAAGTGTTTTCGCCAGATCTGCATTATGTCCGCAATTTGTGTGCAGGTAGCGCCTGTACTACCATTGATCAGCGTCCTCAGCGGCTCCAATCTTGGTCCATACACCACCCTCAAGGAGTCAAAGAATTCCTTGTGTTGGTAGGGTTCGGCGCGGTATTCCATCTGCTTCGCCTTCTCCGTCCACCATGCATTTTTAATGCGACGGAGCTCTCGGGTCAGTCGCCGTCGAAGTTTGCGAAACTGACTTCTTCCCCAAGTCACTGAGGTCTGCGACATGTGCAGCAAACGCCGCATTCTTCTCACATACCAATGCACCAATCGTCGAATTGTTGTCATCAAACCAATCAGGCCGCTTATAGTTTGCGCGCCCCATGGTCTCCTTGGCAGCAGCTGCCACCTGGTCGCGGATGTGATGCCACAGGTTGCCCACTGTGGCTATGCAGTCCACATCACCACACAGGCGTGCAGCCATCGCCTTCTCCAGCTTAGTGCGTTTCGCCACAGTACCGAGGGAGGGAAGGCTAAATTTACGCCAATTCACGACGGGAGTGCAATACTTATATTTACGAAAATATATGTACGGTTTGGTCCGCACGATTTTGTGATCAGTGCCACACTCAGCTCCATGCAACACACACGTCAAGCGCACTTCACGCATATCACGTTGACGTACGATGACATAGTCGAGCAGGTGAGCGTGATTACTCCGTGGGTGAGTCCAAGTTGTTATATCACTCGCACTCAGTGCAAACCGAGTGTTCGTGGTCGTCAGGCCATGAGTGGCACACAGTGAGAGCAGCCTGTCGCCGTTCGCATTCGCTGAACCAACGCCATGCGAACCGATAATATCTGTCCACGTTGGTGCAACACGCCCAACGCGCGCGTTGAAATCACCCAGCAGGAATAGTCGGTCGCTCCTCGGCACAGACCGTATCACGGAGGATAGCTGAGTGTAGAATTGATGACGCGTGTCGTCAGGATAACACATGGTCGGACCTTACTTGCTTATAAAAGTGGCAAACATACCTCTTCCGAGTCGCAGGCGAACAGTCATCAGTCGCGTGCTGATGCTCGTTGGTTCATCCACTACCAGGCCATGGAGGCGATCGGATATTGCAAATCCGGCCCCATGATAACGTGGTGCTGACGCGGCGTTGCCCACCCATTAGAATGTGTAGCCAGCACCTGCTTCATACAACTTACCTTGCTCAGCGAGCCGGGTTTCCGTGAGCGCCGCAATATCGATGTGGTAGCGCGCCAGTTCCATCGCGACGAGTGCAGTGCATCGCTCCGGGTGCTCGCTGGTGTTCCTGTCCATTAGTGTTTGCACGTTCCAGCACCCGATGCTGAGTGCTTTTCGCGCAGGCATACGATTGCATTGGTGGGCAATCGCACGCGAGATGGTCGTTGTGCTTCGAAGGTTTGCTTGAGGGACTCCACCCGGAGCCTTTGGCTCAATAGCCTGACCCACAAGGCAGTGGGTGATTTGGAGGTTTGCTTGAAGGAATCTGCCTAGGGCCTTTGGCTCAATAGCCTGACCCACAAGGCAGTGCGGAGCAGACTCAGCTCGGGAATGTGATTGCA